CTCAAGCATTATATTTATATTATTAGGAAGAAATATAGGCCTACATATCTTATTTTTGGAGATTTCAAGGCTGGGACGGGTGCGCTAATTGGCAAAATATAAAATTTTATTTTTATTCAAAATCATCAATATTGGCAAGCGGTGGGTTCACAAAAAAAGGTATAAAAAGTTTTGCCTTATCTGAAAAATAGTTAAATTTTATAAAAAATATTAAATAAGAGGATAATTTCTTATCATACATAACTTGCTGTAAAATATTACAGTATAAATTAATTTTTAAATCTAAGGTCTTTAGTATCAAACAGGGGCTTAGGATGGTTTTGGTCTGGTGGTTTGTGTGTGAAACTTGAGAGTTACAAACTAATCCATATCAGTAGGCCTATATCACAAAGAAAACTACATAATAATAGGTAAATATATAACCCAACTAATTTTCCTGCGTGGGAAAGGGGTCAAATCCATGATCCAACCAGTTATACAACTAAGGCAAAATTTAATTTTAAAGCAATGAAGTCATAATTATTACTTTTCATTAAAAAAATTATTTTCATCCTACAGCCAATAAATTCAGTCTCTATGGGGGTGAGGTAGTGTTCTAGTTATGAAAAGAGACCTTGTGACAACAGGATGCAACATAAAGAATCAGTTTAGCAATGAATGTGTTATGGTGTCTTTTATATGGCAAAAAAATAAGGACTTAACTGAATGAGATTTATATTTATCCGGCCAACAGTAGCATCAAAATGTGATCAATTGAACTAAATTGTTAACTTAAGGGCACTCAAAAATACTTTTTTTAAACGAATTACATCACTTTGTAATAAACCAGGAAGTATATAGGCTAAAACTGATCACTGGTTCAAGCATGGTTCAAGTAATGTCAACAATGTGAACGCCACAAAAGTGACAGGCACTCCATTGTGCTATCTTTTGCCTTTCACAATGCTCTCAACTAAATAGTTGATTAAGTATTACGTATGCTATTGCTCTGCAGGAGAAATAAGAAGCGATTTAATAACCATGATCTGGGAAGCAATTGGACACCAAACTATTTTGGCATCATCATTAATTCTAAAAATAGTTTTAGAATGATAAACACTTCCAAGATGCAGTACCATCTCCGAACTTATTCAAGACATGTTGAGTTATTTGCAGTGGGGCACAGTGGCATAGGCTGCTTTAATCCTGGGGGGGGGGCGGGGGGAGCAAAAATAAAATTACAGTAATATAACAATATTTGGTTTTATTTCAAAATTATTATTTACTAAATGCAGTATCAATAAACACAATACTTTATGTTAGTATTGCACTAGTATGTTAATGACACCTTGATATTTTCCACAATGGCAATGTGGGCCAGGATGACAAGATTGAGTGCAATGGGAATAAAGTGATGGATGGCTAGTTAGTGAACTAATCCCTAGGGTACCATTAGGCATGTCACTGTCAGTAAAACAAAATGTCGGAAAACTTTTCCTGAAGATGTCTACACACACACATACATACACACACCCACACACACGCGCAAAAAAGTGAATACAATAGTTCCTTGCATTACATGCCTAGGAACTAAAAGTGATTGTTATTTATTATATAGGCTACAATTTATGCACTTTTCTGAAAACACTGCTTAAGAAATTTCTTCTCCGTTCATTGAATACAGAATCAATCATACACAACTTGCAGCCTCTCTGCTCCCTAGGGGAGTATTAATAGTTATGCATGTAATACAATAGTACATTTTCATTTTGAATTATACCTCTACAAGGTACCAATTTCCACTTAGAAAGGATAAACATAGTTACAGTGTCTTGCCTGGCCCCCTAGGGCACAAGCAGTCTGAGTAGTGTCCATCTCGAACTCATGACCTCTCAAATAAAAGCCCAAAGCCAAACGGCTGTGCCATCCCCTTCTACAATTATTCTCTTCATAGATCTATGTTTAATTTTTATTGTTAATATATAACTCTTTTAGTTAATAAATATAATATTATTAATATAAAAAACAAAATAAAAGATATATATATTATACTAATATTAAATTATGTATTCAGTGTTCTCCCAATATTAAAACATTTTTACTTGTAAATTTGTCCATAAAAATTCAGCTATGCATGCAGTGTGAGGCTAATCCCTTTTGAGTGGGGTTTAATGACTTAAAAAAACAAGACATACGCCTAGTCATAGCCTATGTATAGACTGGAATGATGTTCATTTATTGAAAGAAGGCAAGCCTAGACTACCTAGGCCTAATCAGTGGTTTTATTTTAAAATCTCAATTTTTTTACTGGTTGGCCAGTTATTTTTTACTTGTAAAATTGACAGTTAAAACGGCTTCAGAAGAACACTGGTATTGTATACAATACCATGGTCCTCTCCTATAGATTCCAGATTCCATTTAACATTCCATTCACTGGAAAACCTTTCCCTACTTTGGATTAATTTTTTTAAAAGTTTCAAAATCTATCTGTATCACTAATTCACCTTTCCTCCACTTTTTTCATTCTTGAATTTTTTTATTTTATTTTTTCTAGCCAATAATATATCAATATTTGATCATTATGATACATGCTGACCTCCTATTAAATATTTGCATTTTATGAAAGTCTCCCATCAAAATGCCATAGGCAAAAGAAAAATGGCATCATTTGTATATAAACAAGTTGTTAATGTCGCAATACATTCAACTATGTAGGCTAGGCTGGCAATAACCTTGAATGGACAATTCTGTCACCACTGAAGCAGCTTACAGGATGCGATACTAATCTCCATTGGAGCCTGTATCACAAGATTTCCTTGTTAAAGGAGAACTTGGGAATTCTACGGCACTTAATAAAAACCTCCCAGGCAACCTCCAGGCATGTGTTGTCACTTAAGAAAGTAATGTTTATATTATTGGGGAAAACCCCACTATCATCATGAGCAATAATAAAACAAATGGACATTTAAATACTTTGGGCTTTATTGTTCATTGTTTCATTATTATTTTTAGTCTTTCAAGTTTATCTTCACTTCCTGAAAACTATTCCTTAAAAAAAAAATACAGGAGCATTATTTGATTTGAATTTCCTTTTATATAAAACTAAAACTGCTTACTTTTCAGGGACATTATTTCAACAGTTGCTGATTTTGTTTTCATTTCATTTCATTTATTTATTAGACACAAAGGCCTGGGACTTCTAAAGAAGAAATTCATTCTCATATGAAGTTATTGAGTGGAGGAACTAAATGTAACCTTTCAATCTGTTCCTGTTTACAACAATTTTCAATGGGTAAAATACTTTAATCCTGGATCCATTTTATTTTATATACTGTATATTAAAGAAGACATAGTATATAGATCCAATGCCTTATGACAAATTCTGTTAACACATTCGCTGACATGGACAAAAAACAAGAATGGAAATCTTACACCGGGTGTTGAAGCTAGGCCAGGGGTGTGCTTACTTGTACCTATATTCTTTTGTATATCACTGGTGGTGCTGCTGCACCAGGAATAAAACCACACAAGTGGCAGCTTAGGATAAGTGCATAGTATCCTAAAAATAAATTTGAGATGTTCCTTGTGTTCAATTACATACAACTACTGTAGGAAACCCTATATTTCGAATCGCCCTATTATGTTCGATAAATAAGAGTACTGTATATTTAATTGGTGGCGCCCTTTAAACTTACTGCTGCAAATGGGGAAGAACTATTCATGTTTAAAGGTAGTGAAAAATTCGAAAAACTGGAGGTGCACTGGTGAAGTGCGCCTCCACCCCAGGTATTTTTGGGGTTCTTTTATGAAAATTTGGAAGACCAGGCGATTGCATAAAAGTTCTGGAGACTCCCGTTCAAATTGGGATAGTTGAAACGTATGAGGTTAAACATTGAAGCAGCTATAATTTCTGACCTCATAACTACAGTAACCGTGTACAGTAAAAATAGACCCTGAAAAAAGGGGGGGCCCCTGAAAGAAAGGTCCCGAAAAAAATGGCCCTGGAAGAAATAACCAAGATAAATATTGTATTGGAGGATTAAGGAAAAATGTTAGACTGGTGATCTGAAATGAACCAATATTCTCAATATTCTATTTAATAATTCAGATATGGTACGATATCTAGGCTAGGTAAACTAGAGACCTGGATGTCAAGGTACCAAATAAACACTTATCATTTTAATACGGAATCATTAATGAGATATGTTCCTCTAGAGAGTGGTTTAATAGTAAACAGCAATAACAATAACAATGAAAAATAATGAAAGACAATGACTACTTGTCAATGTTTGTTGCGTTTTCTTTTATTTCAATGTAGATTTTTGATGTGTGAAATGGTATTGTGATTTTTGTGATGATTATTGGTTTCAAACATTTCTATTAGCTTTTAATGTATATTTCTTATATGTTTAAAGTGTATGTTCGTCTATGAATATTTTTAAATTCTGTACAGCGCCGATGAACATTTTTAATGGATATTGTTTTGCGCTTTATTAAATGAAGTTATTATTATTATTATTATTAGTAAAATGGATGTTCTCACATAAATATGGAAGATTTCATAGTAAACATTAGAAGGTTTGGGTATAGAAGAACATACGATAGGAGTATTTTTAGTATCAACCACACACCAATGATAATCAACTAAGACCAAAAACTTGTTTTTAGTGGGTCCTGGTGGAGAATTGGGCAGGACACCAGCAGGTAATACTTATTTTTTCTGAAGAGTGCACTGCAAGTTTAATATGTAAATGGGCCACATATATGGTGTGCTATCATAACTTGTATCCCACCACCCCAGCTGAAACAAAGGAGAGAGCAGTGATTGGAATTGAGCCAGGAAAAACAGATTTGAAAGTGCACACACAATGGCTACCATCAATTTACCCGAATATTCAATACTGTACATATATATTGAACACAGAATCCCTCAGAAGAACAAGTTATATTAACATGGCCTAATATCCACATTGATACATCAAAACAGTAGGTAGCAGAGGTTAAAAAAGTGTAAGACTTACATATCATTTGAGTCGACGTTTGGGTCGACATCCGGCATTTCTGGATCCGAGTTGGTAGGCTCCATCCTTCCTGGTGCTGACTTGCTTGATAATCCTCTTAAAAGATCTGATCCTGAAAGAGAGAAGTGGAGAACTATGCCGTCAGACTGAGATCACTGCCAATAATATCCTCTTTGGAAAAAGATTTTGGCTTACCATTTATAAATTTTGAAATCCCTCTACAACCTTTAAATAAAAAGATCTAACTTTGGTTTTTAAAGTTCCTGTACTTAAATACAGAAATGTCATTGATAATTAAGGGTATTATTTAAACTCTATAATTAGTAATTTCCTACTATGATTTCCAAATTATTCAAATATATACCTATGTCATATATACATACACATAATATGGGGATAAAGAAATTATACACCTTTTTTTGTCAATCATTTCATGTGATAGAGTAAAACAATATATCCAAATTAAAAAAAAAAGACCATGTGTGTTGTCAATGAATATGCCAGTAAATGAATCTTTGAATTGTATAATTTTATTATTGTTTTAGTTGTTTCATAATTATTCTTAGGGAGAAAATTAAATGAAATGAATTTTTCCTTTCTAAAACATAAAAACAAGTAAATAAATTTTAACAAATATTTACGCTAAAAAAATGTTTCTTGAAACATGAGATTATAGATTATACTATAAAGGAATTACCATGACAACAGTGACATACTTCAGGGTCATAAAAGATGGTCTCTAGTCCAGACTCATAATTACGAATCAACAAATCACTACTTTAGAAAATTTCCAATAGGGATTTACAAGATGTAATCAATTAATTTATTATCAATCATAATAATTGCATTTTCGTCCCCAAAATATTCGCTACATTTGAAGGAAGCATATATCCCCGAACATGAATCATTCTGTTATATCCTTACTTTCATTTTCAGTTCAATTCTTTAGATAATCACAAATTTTGAAATTATAATAATCAATTATTTCAATGGTATGAAATATGTTCACAGCTACGTAAGGTTGGGTTGAGGTGTGTCAACAGATGTTTAATAGAGAATCTACTGTACAGCTGCAAGCTTAATTTTCAAAGGATTTTTTTTGTTTGTTATCTGTTATTTATATAGCGCCTTTCCTTTAGGTTACAAAGCGCTTTGTTTCCCTGGTCATAGGGTCCACATGCTTAAGTGTTGCTGCCATATTGGCGCAGTAGCAAGCAACCCCACCAGGTACCCATTTATACTCCTGGCTGGAGTGAAAAACGCAGATAAAATACCTTGCCCAAGGACACAAGCGAAATGTATGTACAGCCTGGGATTGAAACCCCGACCTCAAAGTTGGGAAACCAAACAGTTCCCACTGCGCCAAACCCCTTCCTGCTGCTAAGCCCTGCCCCAGTTAATGGTTGCTTAGGTCCCATAGAACGACAGTCAATCATAGAGAAATATGGCTGAGTGTGCAGTTGTAAGCTTGCGTATTTGTGGGAGATGTGCAGATGTGATGTAATATAGAAGGTAGAGTAGAAGAAAAAAGACCAAGGCGATAGAAAAGAATAATGCTGCTTGATGATATCCGGAATGGAAAGAGTTGAAGAGGAATGCAGAGGACAATGAATACTGTAATAGAACTTACTGAGGGACCTGCCTTCTGGCAGAACACTATTGATGATGAATTCGAATTGCTTGGTAATAACTTAAAATTATACAGTACATTATATTTACAAAATTTGAAATAAATAATTAGAATTGCTTAAATTGATGGGATGGTAATACTTAAAAAAAAACAAAGGTGTATATAATGATTGTTCAGTTTCCATGGCTTAAAGGATTAATGCTCTAGCGCTTCACTAAAAACACTGTTGACAAAAGGCGTAGGCCTATATACAATTACTAAACAGTATTTCTTCTTGTTATTGTAAAGTGAATATCAAAAATACATTTATAACAACTATTAATATATTTTAGCCAAAAGGAAATTAACTTCAATATAGAATTATCGCATTTAATGTTGTCATTACTTAGAGTTTAAATCTCTTTATTTTACACAACAAAAAATACAATGAATTTGGATTAAATCATTAATTTTGTTTTTCGTTTTTTTTAAATATATATTTTTATTGCCAAATTTAAAGGTTGATTCAAGAATTATTTAAAGCTCATGTGCTGTGCATTGATATCTGTAATTATGATATGCAACCTTTGTAAGTTAAAACATATAATAATAAATAATGGCAGATATTGTAATAAAGTTTCTAGACATGGTAAACCAAAAACCTAGATCAACAGGCTCCTAATGTATCATCTATAAACGATTAATGAGTGATACTCTAGAGGGAGACATTAATAATAAACCAACAAATGAGAATGTTACTGCGTTAGCATTGACAATGTCACTTCTTTGATAGTGTGTTGAGCTTAATGAACTAAAAAAAATCTCAAATTTCAATAATTGAATTGGTAACTGTCCTGATTTACCATAAAAAAAATATTTGTTTAAATCCAGACTCTGGAGGAACAAAAATTGTATGTTGTACAAATTAGTATTTAAGACACTTAAAGGGTGTTTAAAGAAATTTTGAATAAAAAAAAAAAACCTGGAAGACCGTTTTTTGTCAGCTAATTTATGCAATGTCCACGCCATCAAATTTGAACAAAAAACTATTGTATGCCCATATATATAAGTAATATGCCTATATATGGTCATGATGTGATGTCATAATGATCAAATTTATGAATGTCACATGTTTTTGGGCCTGCGTAAGGCACTGACCACAGAACCTCACTGCTGTTCTTGTTCTTGTTACCAAAACTTCAAAAGCATCCAGCATCGTGCAGGAAATTTTGTACACATAAATTAGAGGTGATTTCCAACAAACGTTATTGCCACTTTTTTAAGTTGGACCCCAGGGTACCCCCTACACCTGCAACAGGTGTTTCAGCAAGGACTGTATATTACTGCCATTACCACTAATAGGGCATGTCGCATGAATGGTGGGGTCGGTTAAGGATATGTTCTAAAGAACTTAAGGTTGTGAGTTGTGAGGTCGCGTCTTGGTACTCAATTCTTGTTTAGTCTGAACAGGGCTTAAGGGTTCGGTCTTACCTTGGTGGACATTTAGTCTGGTATGACCGCTGAACTGTTCGGCCGAATGAATTGATTGGTCGCACTGCACGCACAACATCAGCTCCTCGTTGTTGTTCTGTGACGTACAGCCCGAGTTGTGGCACGACTGAAAAATACAGAGCACATGATTCCATAATACATTAAAAAACATTCTATTATAGCAAGCAAATATATTATTATTATTACTGTATTTCTATTTAATAACACAACTGAAAAACAATCGAGAATAGCCAATAGTGGTTTTGTCAGAACAAAAAAAGAACGCACACAATCTATGCCTTCTACACGGTAATAGAGAACATATGACCTATATCATGAAATACTCAGAGGAATTCTAAAATCAGAAATTATATAATTCAATTAAAGTTTAACTTGCTGTAATATTGTACAATAGAAATCATAATTATGGTTAGATTAAAACAGTTTAGTCAACAAGGAAAATTTCATCATAAAACATAATTTTATCTTTAGTAATTGTTTCATCAATCCTATCATAAAGAATGTCGTGTTCGATTACTTTGTATGAAGAGAATAAAAAGTTAGAATCGATGATATTTAAAGTGGGTAATTCAATGTTATAATTAAAGGTAAGTTTATTACATGTGTTTTTTTCAGATTTATCATAGGCAGGAACTATGAATCTAGGAACTATAAAATTGTGATGATGATAATGATCTTACGATACTTATAATAATAATAATAATAATAATAATAATAATAATAATAATAATAATAATAATAGTACTTATCATCATAATGGTACTTATGATGATGATGATTCAATGATGTTCATCAATTTATTGCAACATTTACTTTCTTCCTTTGAAATTAAACTAAATAAATTTTTAAGTGTTTCTTAAATAAATTTAAGGTGATTAGGATGATTATGTATTGATGATTAATAATAATATTAATAATAATAATAACAAATATTTATATACTGTAGGACGACGATTGTGAAGATGATGATGGTGATGATGATGGGATGATTATGAATTAATGCTATTATGATTGTGATGATGATAATGAGGATGATTATCAATTAATGATAATTACGATAATTATAATAAGGATAATTATGAATTAATGATAATTATGATGGTGATTAAGATGATTATGATGATGATAATGATGATCGGCTATGAAGATGAAAACAATGATGAATGATAATGGTAACGACATCTAAAGTGATGGCAATCTACAACAGCTATTACAGAACACCTTAATTGTGTAATTCTGTCTTACAAATTATTATCATTATTATTTAAGACACATTTCTATGTTAAAATTACACATACTGCTCTTTAAGAAGCCGTAACAACCTCATTAATGTGAAGAATTGTGCTAATCACATCACAACAATTATCAAGCGTATAAAAACAAAGCCACGTAACAATCTCGAAATTCACACAAGTGAAAAATAAAGGAGTATAAAATGGGTCGTATATTTTAGTGTCTGGATGTGAACATGTGATCATTGCCACATCTCCAACCTCGCAGTTCAGGCGACAAGTATACAGCTTTATGGATTCATGCAACGAATAAAAATATGGGTATGTGACGTCTGTGTAAATGTCAATATTAGTGCTTTCTCGTAAAGATGTTGAAGGAACTTTAGTTGCATTATACATTAAATTATTATTACATGCAAAAAACATTCCAATAGAGTGAATCAGTCTGTTTTGCTGGTTTATATAGTTTGTGAATTATATATAATGCCGAACGAAACGTTTTCAGGACAGCCCAGTAATGTACCTTACTAGACTTCTTAATAAATATGGTAAATAAATAAAATATAATTTTATTGGCTCATGAGCTATTTTTCATTTACTAAGCAAAACCTCCAACTTTAAATTCTTATTTTGAATAGCAGGAGCTGTTTTTCTATATATGCTTATTGGTATATTTTTTTAAATTTTGTTTGTAATCTGATCACCTTATTGTGGCAATTAAGTTCATTGGTTTGTTTATCCAAATTTTAATGAAACTGCTTTTTTATTGGTTTGTACAATCTTTAAATTTCCCAATTGTTTTACATATTATTCATGATTTTTTTTGGTCTAAATTTGTATTTTTAAAATGAGTTTGTGCTTTTTATCATGTTTTTATTAAGTGCTACTTCATGTACTTTTTTATGGAAACATCAAGGAATTTCAGTTTTTAACCAGATTGCCAATTTGTTGAGTAAAATACTTGAATATCTTAATAAATAATTAAAATAAAGAAATTAATAAATAATTTAATACATAGTTGTAATATATAACACATAATGGCAATATTTTGCCAATTTTGTATGATAACAATTTTAGGTCTACTTGGTATAATGTGAATTAAACTTTAATAATTTTTAAACATTTTCGCCTCTTTCTACATAAAATTTTCTAAATTTCTTAGCTCCCTACATTTAATAATGACATTAACAATTATATTTATTGTACTGATACACTCTATTTTCATCAAGGGTTAGGACAATATGTAAATCAGCTTGGTAGAATTGAATAATTAAATTAATTAATACATAATTGTAACATTGTGCTACTCTCTTAAGGATTAGAGGAAGGATTAAAGATGGATTAAAATGAGGACTGAATGAGGAATTACAAAAATAATATTTACACAGCGTAACATATAAATCGGCTCGGTAGAATTGAATAATTAAGTTAATGGCTTACAATGAGGACTGAATGAGGAATTACAAAAATAATATTTACACAGCGTAACATATAAATCGGCTTGGTAGCATTGAATAATTAAGTTAATTAATACATTATTGTAACATTGTGCTGCTCTCATAAGGATTAGAGGAAGGATTAAAGATGGAATGGAATGAGGACTGAATGAGGAATTATAAAAATAATGTTACACAACGTATCATGCTAGGCCTCTATAAACAGAAATCAAAAGAATAGTTTTAGAGTGGGAATGGTTACAGAGATGATTAGAGAGACAAGCATTAGAAAGAAAATACCCATATATATTATGTGCCTATATATGGTAATGATGTGATGTCATCATGACCATATTTAGGCATGTCACATGTGTCACAAGTGGAATTTTATAGTCTGGACAGGCTCTAGGGAAGGATTAGATATGGATTAACAATTACAGTAAAAGATTAATTAATACAAAGATTAGACGAAATGGATAGGAATAATGACTAAGAAAGAGGGATTAAAGAAAAAAGCATTTTAAAGGAAATGCATTGAGGAAAGTATAAAAAGGGAAAGGATTGAAAAAGAAATGGATAGATTAGATAAAAATATGATAGAAGAAAGAACAACATATTAATTTTATATTTTCAAAACAAGCATGATAAAAAACAAAATGCTCATGGTAACCAAAATAATTAAGAAGCAGTCAGATACAGTTCATCTTTTAAATGTCAATTCCAAATGGAAATCTTGTTATTAGACAAGTTTCTTATTAGTATATTAAGAGATGTACTAAAAGGTGGAATAAAGGTTATCTCCTCGCAGGTAGACACAAATCACCTGCAAATTAACAACACTGAATAAACTTGTACTCAAGACCTGTCAATCAAACTGACAAACAAAAACAAGCCCCTCCCACAAATTGAATTTTCTGTATTCCACAACAATGGAATTTGTTACTATATTATTAGATAGGGGAAGTGCATATCGGGTGAGAGGGATAGGAGCTCAAAGAAATACTGAAGCCTTATCAGTCACTCCAAAAATATTTCTTTGGAAAATCCGAACAAAAAGATGTTCTAAAAGCAGTTTGCAATTAAATTGTCTTACCTGAAAATGAAACAAGAAATGATTTCAACTGGTTAAACTTGACTATCATATAAGCATTACAGTAGGTAGAATCCCTCCATTTAGACAAACAATTACATTCATAATACAAAATTAACGGTCAAATTGTAGAGGAAAACTTAATTATGCACACAAACGCACATATTGAATGAGAAAAATATTTCTTTAAGCATGTGCGGTGGCAACTTATATTACTCTGAGCATGTGTAGGTTGATGTCTGAAATGATTAATCTGAGCATGTGCAACTTTTAAAATGGACATGTATATTCTGACCAAAAATTCCTGCGAACATTTCTCTTGGAATGTAAAGAATAGTGAGCAATGGAAATTAATACAATAAATGATGGTTGGTATTACGTACAAAATCTATGAACGGTTTCAAATACGTAATACATCAAATTTTAACGTTTACTCAGGTAAAACATTCAATCACGTTAATAAATTTTCTCTTGAGGTGATTTACAGATCAAGAAATATATTCTCCGATCTTCAATCTTTTCTAGAAATATCACTACACCATCTTGTATAATGCTTTTACTCTTAGCAAAAAAAATTTATAAAGACATACAAACAAAAATCTCGTGTTTATTTTTTCCCCATCAAAATTACATACTGTTCATGTTTCTTAGGTAATTCGTATGATAATAAATTAATTTCATTATTAGCTAATGACAATAATTTAACATCCAATCAGAGATTTACACATTTCTCATTACATTAAAACCATAATTCAAACTTGTCACCTTATTTCCGCTGTTAAAAAAAAATCAAACCTTACCATTTTCGTAGAAAAGATATTAATAGCAATAAATGTAATAGACAGTATCATTCAATCCACACGGCACAAACATTTCAAAAGAAGCAATTCACGTGTTTACAATCCCGCTACAAATGCTTTCAAAAGGTATTTTTGTGTTGTTTCTCAGAGGCTAAGCCTGTAGATGTTACCGTATGAGCCAATTATGTAGAAATTACCACTTTGGGAATTATGTCCTATTGCTTCTTCTACGCTTGATTGCACACGGGAGATCTCAGCAGGTGATACTGGATGAAACATGCACTTACGTAATAACTATCGTCGAAAAGGAATTGCAAAATCTGCGTCCAAAGTACGATAAGCAGTTATTTATAACTTTGCGTTGTTTACATACAGTAGCCAGTAACATGATGATTGACGTATATAATTGAAATGAAGATAATACAATAATAGAAGAAATGATGAGTTGTAGATTAAATCCTTACAAAGATGAGATTTAGAAAATTACAAAAAACACTCAATAAATCAACAAATAATGTAAATAAATAGGCAAATAGTAATAAAAATAA